TCTGAAGGCAAAAGGGGGTCCAACCCGTTACTAGCATGGGGTACCTAATAAAGTGGCCGGTGAGTGTATATACATCAAAAGTAAAAACTGGATGAAAAGTTACTCCAAGATTCAAACAGGATGTTTGGTATACATTACTAGTTTACCAAAAGAATCCATGTCTTTAGGAACAAGCTAGTCAGAGGCAAAGATTACAGCTTTCTTGTCATTCAATTGTAAAAATTATCCAGCCAGCAACACATTTAACTAAAGTCAGGAAAGGGCTGCAAGAGGATACCTTCCACACATTGCCAATATTTTGAAAGATTTACAATTCAACATGTTAAAACAGGAACTGTTGTAAGTGAAATTGGGAGCAGTAAGGTCCTCTGCCTACCATGTAATCTGAAGAGGACAGTACCAATGGCTCTTTTGAAGGATTAACTGATCATCTGATAAACTCCAACAGAGATACTAAGCGTTTTTTTGATTTGACTGGGATATCATGTAATACTGGCTTATTACTAATCACAAAAGCATACAGTATAACTAGGTCAGTTTTCTTCTGAAATAGAAAAAACACACCTGATCTGAAATAGATATGCTCTTAGTTTTTAATGTATGTATAAATTACACCTAGAAAGGGATTCCACCTAATGAGAAAACTAAGATTTTTTTTTTGTTGTTGTTGTTTTTGTTGTTGTTAGAAGGAAGATTTTAATTCAGATTTATAAATTATTTATCTAATCCATACTCACCTTGAATATTCTATAACTTCCTCACAGGAAAATATGTACCTGAACTGTCCCTACCAACCAAGGTCTTGTTTCTTTTGTATTCTTTCCATCATAAGCAGTAACTTTAATTCTTCGGGGGTTTTGTGGTTCTAATAACTTTTAAGTCTTCAGTCATATTTGTCTTTATTCCTAATTTGCTTATAACCAACTGAAACTGATAAACTGAAAGCAGTATGAAAGTATGTCCAAGTTTCCCTTTGAGTTCCTGTTAAACAAGAACCAGCAGTTCTGATTAAAGGTGCCTCAGTGAACAGCAACATGTGCAAGGTTTGGTTTGGAGGCAGGATCATTTTGATCAGACATGGAATTGAAACAAATATTGGTATCATAACAGACAAAAAGAAGAAATTTAAGTAAAAACACAGCTAATTAATTTAAACTCAAAGCAGCTAAACTAGAAAAGTTTCTACTAAAATACAGTAGTCTTAACTGAATTTGTCACTGTCCTACAAAATTTTGCTATGATGATTAATCCATTGTTTGCACGCAACCCTGGTACGGACAGGGATAGTGTTGATAGTATATAATTACTATACTGTGTCACACTGTGTCATGGTTTTTAGAAAATTTTTTTGAAAATCATTTAACTCACATGAAATTAATTGAATAGATGTTCCTTGATTTTATGTGATATAATGCCCTTGAATGACAAATTATGTAGAGAGTCACAAGATTCAAAAACATTATTTCCTTCAGTTGCATCACGTGGAATTAAACTTGTGTTTGTTATCATTAAAGAAACACACATCTCTGAAGTCTATGTATGACTGCAGTAGGAGAATTGTTGTTGATAAATGCATCATTCGGATGAGTAAAATTTCATTGTGAAACTGTGTTTTTAGACTCAAAATAGAAAATTATGAATAAAATATATACACATTTAAGATATCATTAAAGGATTTTTGTTTTTATGTTTTTGCAGACATTTTATGTTGATTGTAACGGGTGAAAATGCTGTTTATTAAGCACCATAATACCACAACAGCTCATCTGTAAACTTCACAAACTAGGCCTCAGCACCTCCCTCTTCCACCGGCTACTGGATTTCCTCAGTCAAAGGCCTCAACGGCAACAGCACCTCAGGCAGGATTAAATTGAGCACAGGGGGGCCAAGGTTGAGTGCTCAGCCCACTGCTCTTCACCTTGCTGCAATGACCACAAAACAGCCTACAGAAATGACCACATAGTAAATTTTCCTGACAAAACAATTGTTGTGGGTCTCATCACCAAGGGAGACAAGACCCAAAACAGGGAGGAAGTAAAACTTTTGACCATATGGTGCAGAGATAACAACCTTCTATTAAACGACAACAAAACCAAGGATATCATTGTCGAGAGTCCACACCCAACACCTGCTACTAAGCATCGATGGTGCTGCGATGGAGAGAGTGACCGGCACTAAAACCCTGGGAGTTCAGATCAGTGAAGACTTCTCCTGCACCACCAACACCCCAGCACTGACAAAGAAAGCAAAGAGGCACCTTCATGTGGAAAGTCAGGCATGCATTACAAAATTACATGGGCACCATTGCCTGCAACCTCATCAGCTGTATCACTGGGGCTGGAGCTGCACTGATTACAACAGGAAAGCCTTGAAGCATACAGTGAACACAGTTGGAAGGATCATTGGTGCCATACTCCCCTCACTGAACGACATGATATGCAAGGCAAGTGAAGTTGGAGGTCAGGCCACACCACTCACTTCCGGCAAAAGGTACAGGAGCCTGTCCTCTCACGCCACCAGACTCACCAACAGTTTCACATACCAGGCTGACAGGATCACTTTCCACCCCTTTTTAGAAACATGTGTACTTAACACCCTGTACTTTAACCCTGAACCCATACAAAGGACTGCCTTGCACAACTATTAACTACTTATTTATGATGCTGCTACTGCATGATACTTGATCACAATTGCACTACTATGCTACATGCACACCAGGTATAAAAGGAATACCTCACTGCCAGTATGTGCTTATCATTGCACGGGGTACAATGTGTTTTCGCTACTTTTACTTTTGTGTAAATTTTTTATTTGTTTGTCTTGATAACCTAAATGTCAGAAATGTCTTTTGTACACCATGGAAATGAAGAGAAACGCAAATCCGATTCCTTTGTATGCCCAGTACATGTAAAAGAATTGACAATAAAATATTACAAACTAAACTAGACTAAAATGATGGAAGAGAAGTATATAAGCTGGCAATATTGTAAACCAATCAAACTGCTGAAGTCTGCTAAATAATAAATAAATTATGATCTCTTTGAGAACTGCATGTCATTCTGTTTTGAAACTGAGCATCTATCTGACCTGACATAAAAAATCATATTATACTGAGACAGTGATTCATCTGGTTGATGGTTCTACAGTAAAAGCAACTGCATGCAAATGAAAATGCAAATGAAAATGCAAATGCAAAAAACAAAAAAAAAAAACAATATGAGAAATTACTTCATAATAAAGAACAAAGCTTTTCATTGTGTAGTGAAGAAAAAAAATGGGTCAACTTTGATGCTTTTTGTCAAGAATATAAGTTTCTCTAGAGATAAGAACCACACAAATGTTAACTCGAAATAGCTGCCTTCATAACTCCTATAGCTCAGATATTCCTGTTTCCCAAATGCATCAGTGTCAGAGTTGTTATGAACAGAGAATAACGAATCTGTCGTCTAAAACCCAACGAGGGCAGCAACCATTTCTCCACATTAAACAGCTATGAGTGATTGAACTAAAATGCTTTACAAGAATGTAAGAATGCGCTCATAAAAAAAAACAAAAAACTTATTTACTAAGTGAATATGTGGCTTACCGGTATTTCAATTGAGATATAAAGGGTAAAATTAGGCATTTGATCACTTCTTCTTGAGACAAACAATTTGCCTTGGAACGATGGTCCCACGAGGCTATGCACTTAGCTTATCAACATGATTCATCTTACTGATTACATGGCGTGTATTAGGGCCCTGCAGTGCACTAAGGGTGAGAGGCGCATCGACCTGCTGCTGTTGCTACTTGTGCACAGAGTGCACTGATGATATTTTTATTCAGTGTTCCTCCTCGCGAGTTTTGTACATGTAGATTACATCGGTTATATTGGGATTTGAGGCCATCTAATATATTTGGATATATTTAGCAAAATATCTGTTTGCGTATTAGTGTCAATATCGTCTGCTGATATTGCGCAATAGTAAGAAAGCTTGACCTGTGACATGGTTGCAGTGGGTGGCTACGAATCTATGCAAAAAGAAACTCTGATAACAAGTGGGTTATAAATCAGTGTGCATTCGGTTCCTGTGTCGTTGTTGCCTTTTTGGGGTTAATGGAAAGTACCGCAGAAGGACCAACCCTTTGAATGAACACATTCAGATCGGAGAGAGAAAGAGAGAAAGAGAGAGAGAACGAGGGGCAGGGGGCAGCCTGCAACTTAGGCGCTGTCCGCGGTGCTGAATCGCCTCCTGCCAGGTCCGTTATTTTATTGTCCTATTTTCTTTTTTCACGTCATGCTGCGTGCTCCAGTGCGCACCGATTATCAATGACCTTAAAGATGATGGAGCTTCGTGGACTCTGCCACCGGAGTTAGACGAGCAAACCCTCCCACGTTGTCACAGCTGATCAGCGGGAGATCATGGAAGAGGGAGATGCAGGATTGTTAAAAGCTGAATGACAAAATGTTTCTGAAGACATCTTGCGTTACGTTGTTTCACAGGTTATTTACCGACTGACCAGCTCCAGCCAGATTCAACCGGTGACCGTTTCATCCCCTTAGGAATTTCAACACCTTAGATGTCAAAATGACTTGTTTTGATTTTGTTGCGCTTTAAAATAGGAGTTTTTTTTTTAATCCTTTTTGTCATATAGAAGAGCGGCCACCTCATTGCGAGGCATGGCTCGTCTGATTGTTTTGATCAACTCAGTGCTCCTGTTGCTTTTTGGCAGCGACATCTTCTTGGTAGGAGCGAGTAAGTATTGCAAACCGTCTGCGTTTGTGGGTAGATTTTAATGTCATATTTCATAGAATTCCTTCATGGTTGTTGAATTATGTTTTTAATATAGACAAAATTAGAGTTTGTCCCCCTTTAGATATTTGGTGATACTTGAAGATTGCAAATATTCTTTTATGTAAAATATTTGTTCTTGAATTGATTGTTATAAACTATAGTAAGGGCATAAATAAAATAAATTAAGGTTATTAAATAATTAATTTCAATATAAATCATGTGTAGCACAATTATACAGCAATTAGTTTTTTAAATGTTCTATATTCTTTCCTGTGACACTTACTCAGAGGAGGACCATTCCCTTTTGCACAATTTATGGGTTGTGCACAATTTAGGGGTCTCTCTTCAACTCTCTTAATTTAAGGTAATCCCTTAAAAGTTTTCTGTAGGATTTATGTCTTGGAGCTGAGGAGGTCAAGGACCAGAGTTCATAATTCATATCGTTACTAGCCATCTTTTATTTGTTTATCTTGCTCAAAGACCCAAACATGGCACTTTTGAATTAACAGATGTAAACCAATAGTTGTTAACAATGTTCTGGGGTTTCAAATATGTTATGATTTAAGGTTCAGATAGACCCATACCATCACAGAGTCTCACCAAGGTTTAAGAGTGCATTCATTTATACCTCATGTTATAAGTAAACCAAACTGGTTGTTGCAAAATCAATCTTATTTCCTATGTAACCTAAATATAAGGTGATTTTTGTAAAAAAAAAAAAAAAATGGGAATGGGAATAAATAACAAAGGCGTCCTTTTGTTGCATCAACTAAAATAACTATAGAATAAACAAGTGTACATGAATTATTTAGTACAGTTTTCCTTTGAGAATGCTAAAATGAAAGCAATTTATCTGAACAATTACAAATAAAAGTATAGTTAATATAAGCTTTATATGATAAGAACAATAGTTTGAGAGCAAATACGTCTAGAAGACATATGTGGAAAATCCTTATCAAGCTAACATTCTGGTTGCTCATTTGGAGAGAAGAAATATTTGCTTTTTTTTTTTATTTAAACTAATTTTCATCTATATTTATAACAGAACTTTATTGCCCCTCACAACCATTTAATGTGTTGCATTTCAGCAACAGTATATTTGCCTCTTTATATCCCTGTCTACCTTTATTGCATTCTCCTCTGCCTTTCATTTGGAGCAGTACCCAACCTGTGAGAGAATCAGTCTTGGCACATTGCTGTTTCTGTGTGGGCGTGTGTGTGCTGTCATCCTCCAAAACATTTTTTTAATAATCTGCTCTGACACATGACCATAGAAATATCTAGAAATATCAGTTCTTTGCACGCTGCCAACAGAAGCAGGTAAAGATTGAAAAAACATAGCATTCAGAATTATGTTCACTTGACTTTTGTCATTTGTCACTTTTGTCAATGCCACTGTCGCCCTAGTCATAGTGACGCCACTGTCACTAGGGCGACAGTGGCGTTGGATGTTGGAGTTTGCCCTGAAATCGAAGGGTTGACGGTTCAAGCCCCGGCTCTGACTTTTATTGTCGTTGTGTCCTTGGACAAGACACTTCACCTGCATTGTCTACTGATGGTGGTCAGAGGGCCCGGTGGCGTCAGTGTACGGCAGCCCCGCTTCTGTCAGTGAGCCCCAGGGCAGCTGTGGCTACAATGTAGCTTGCCACCATCAGTGTGTGAGTGTGTGCGTGAATGGGTGAATGAATGTAGTGTAAAGTGCTTTGGTCAAGTCACCTGAAAAAGGCGCTATATAAGTACATGCCATTTAACATTTGTTTGAAAGTGAATGAACATAACTGACAAGTCAGGAAATTACAGGATTTAAAGTGACATCTTATGTAGGATAAGGTTTAAATTAGTTATTGGGTTATAGGAAAAAAAAAAAAGAAAACAGAGGGAAGCCTAAAGAATTGCCTATTTGCTGAAAGATGTATCTGTCAGTGAGATCTTACACCCTGCACACTTTTCTACTTCAGTCTGGTACGCTATAACTGTAAACTGTCACATTAGTTTAAATTCTCTATCCAAGCCATATGCATAAAAAACCTGACAATGGTTGCAGATATTAATAAAGGAAAATCCAGGGTTCCCATTTTTTAAAACATCTAATAATAAATTATATGCATTTTGTATTATATTTACTTTCCATCAAAACTCTTTAATTCCCCACAGGTCCTAACCCCATCCTTAGTTTGGAGACAAATATTACTTAAGATTTATTGCATTTATTGGAAAGCCAGGCTCAAATCAAATTGGCAAACTGCTGTTCATAAACCTTGCTGACACATTCCAAACAAATAGCGTTACAGAATGTGAGCTGAATCAATCTGAATAAAAGCTAATGTTTGTTGAAGCCATAATTTAATTTCCTGTCACATGCGATTTATATTAAACATCTGCAAACATGTTTTGTAGTTGGCAGTTACAATAAGGCTACAAGCCCTGATTGCATGAAACACATTTATTAATCTGCTCTACATAATTACTGCAAGGTCAGCTTCCCACAGATGTACAGTAGGTTGTAGGAAAAAAGAAGCACGGTAGACAAACCTCTTTCTGGCAGGTTTTAAAACACACAACAAAGATCTTACCAAAATTTGCATTCCATGTGGGAGGGGTCTAAATACCTTGATGTTGCTGTGGTTTTACCCCTCTAGACTAAAATAAGCGATTTACAAAATGATCCCATTTTTTAACCTTGTATGCCATGTAACAAAGGGCTAAGTCTGGAAATGTAATAGATTTAAAGAAGAAATAGTGTTCAAAGGTAGCCTTTTGGGAGGCAGAGCTGCAGATTAGATTGAACCAGCATGATATCTATCACCAAAGAGCTCAGCTGCCAGGTGATTTGCAACAGTGGGGCTTGGAATCAGCTCTGAGACAACCTCCTGCAGCGAAGAAGAGAATATTTAGAGTTTGTGTGTGAAAGATCCAGTTGGAGGACTGGGAAGCTAGTCAGTATCTGAACTGCCTGATAAATTACTGTTGTATGTAAAAGCATATTAGTTATTTTGGCAGCAATGTTTAAAAACAAAAACTCTTTTTAAGTAGTTCTTTAAAATGTAACATACGTACTTATCTCAACAGCGACACGTACTTATCTCAACAGCGACAAATATGTTTCTCTTTGTGTAGAGAAACATATTTGCAATTTCAATGTGGTATAAGCATCATTAGTTATGTAAATATGACAGTTTTTTGCTACTCAACTTAATATTAGCCACTGAACAGCAATTGGAGCATTCATTCATGTATGACTTTATGTTCAGTTTTAAGAATCACTTTCTGCCTTTACGTAAAAGTAACAACAAAAGTGGAGATAAAATATGTATTTCTCATATTTTTATTGACAAAAGAAATAAATTAAGGAAAAGTAATGAATCCTGTTGTCTGTTTTAGAATAAAAGCTTCTGACATACTGGTACAAGATATGTACTATTCTTTTGAAAATATGGAGTAGCAGTAATGTAGCGGTGTCATATGTTCAAGAATTATACTTCTGGTAATACATTTGCTTTTTTTAAAGAGACTACAGTTAGAATTTAATGTTTTCTGACATATTAGATTAATTGTTATGTACAGCGTCAATAATTGCCCTCTGCAGGTGAGGATGGAAATGTGTATGTGTGTAGTTTGGGACAACTTAGGGTGAGTACCTATCTTCTTGGAACCATCTTTTTTTTTTTTAACAATTGTCAAGATCAATTCCTATTCGTTTCTATCTTCCTTGTTTGAATAGCAAATTATTTTGTCTATTCTATTTTTGGAAAAATAGGCCAAAAAAGAGACCAGTCAATGTGTCATCTTGTTTTTACCCCAGGGAATTAAAAAACTAATTTAAAGTTCATAGACAATGTGATCTACATAAGAAACAAAGTAAAAATCACTAAGTATTTGAAAATTGATGGAAGGTACAATAGTTGTGATATTTTTAATACCTTTTTCAGAATATTCTTCTTAAGTAAAATATTTTTTTATTTCAAACGTTTTAAAAATCTTTATCTTTTAAACATAAAAAAAAAGAAACTAACTAAAACAAACACATATTTTTGGTGTAAATCATTAAACCTTGAAGGCATGTACTCCTGCCTTTCCTGTTTTAAAAAGAGTTGTAAAATAAGATTAGAACCTTTCCAGCTTATAACTATATCTAAGGGACAAAGGAAGTCAAGGACAGAGCTGGGAAGTAACTAGTTACATTAACTGAAGCAACTTTTAGGGAAAAAAAGTACTTTAAAGGAACAGGATTACTTCAATTACTTACGTTTTACTCGAGTTGTCTTCTTGTGAGACTATCGCTACTCCTTTGTAAAATTTTTGGTTACTCCTTCCATCCGATGGAGCTATTTGTGTCAGGTAACTGTACAGCAAACAGTAGATATTGTAGCTTTATCCTTTCCTGACATATTAGTATTATCTACTGTAAAGATTGGTTTTATAAGTTTATGTTTTAAAAAAATTACTTGAAGAAGTGTTTTTTTCTGCTGCGGTGGACTGGCGACCTGTCCAGGGTGCACCCTGCCTCTCGTCCGTAGACAGCTGGAGTTAGGCATCAGCACCCCTCGCGACCCTGTTCTGGATAAGCGTGTCAGAAAATGGATTGATGGATGGAAGTGTTTCTTCTGTCTGACTGCATTTTTAATTAACATTTAGAAGGTGTTAAAACACCTTACGTTTCTCAACTTCATCTTCTTTTTGGTCTTTGATTGTTGTTTATTAATATTTTTGAGGGGCTCAGCTACAAAAATATGTAATAAAGCTATTATTACTGATATTAACATTTAAGTAATTCAAATAAATTTTTAAACTAAAGCCCTACACATCAAAGTTACAAAATAAACATAAAGAAGAATGGTAAAAAAAAAAAAAATCTGAAATCTGTCAAATTGTAATCATGATAAATGCTTTGTATATCATGATCTGCAGTGATATTCTTGTATTTATCCCATGTCTTTTTAGCAGTTTATCATCAAATAGCTTCCAGGGCTGTACTTTTGTGATTATTTAAAGCTATTATGATCTGACCAAAAAAACATCACCTGTCAGTCTTCCTGCGAGCGTTTATGCAGTCAATAACCTAACAGTCCATTATCCATTGCAAGCAAACAATGTTCAGAAATATAATATGACACAGCTTAATATTTTACTCTGACAAATTCCTCCTGGGCTATTTTCAACGGGACTATTAGGCCATGCAAAGATCTGGCCGCACTTTCACAATTTCTCCATGTGCACTCTAGTTAATGCACTGTGCTTTAGCTTTATGCAGTGATTCATCCTGGCAGTGCTCCTGCATCCCGGGAGGGTCATACCATTTGTTCGTACCAACACGGACCGTGTCCTCTGTGACATATTGCTCTTTAATTTCAGGTCTTACATAACACGTTGTGCATTGTAGGGCCTAGTCGGTGCCAGAAAAAAACATCAGTAACCAACCAACATACGTTGGAGTCTGCAATGACAGCTATTTCTGCTGACATACTAAACATAAGTGAAAGTTAAAACAACACCAGAAATATATAAAAGTGCTTTGATTTATAAACCATTTCACATTTTTAAATCATTACTATTTACCAACAAACTGTAATTTTGTAAAAGTATTCTAGCTTATTTGCTTTGCAATGACCTACAATGATAACATTAAGGTAAAGATAAATCTTCACCTCTTTTCCAGTTGAGCAATTGCTTCCTTTATCATCAGTAAATAGCAATGCATCTTGGATAGTAGCTGCATTTGCACCCATGTGTAGCTGACTGCAACCCTCATTATCAAAGGACAGCAAGGTTTAAGATAAATGACATGTCCTCCTCTAAATAAATGTTACACTTGTTCCTGCTGAGTGCTCACTTTCAGACGAGTACTGATGGTAATCAAGGCTTGATGGCGTTTGTTTGTTACCAACAGGAAAAAAGTAGCGTTGTTAAAGAAGGAAAGTGCTTATATTGTTTAAGTGAATCAAAGGCACATGAAAAATATAAGATAGAAAGTTAATATGCTACAACATAAAATAAAGTTGAACTAAACTAAACTGATGTTTTAAAGATTCAAACCCTGACAGACTCTCTTTGATTGCATGAATCACCAGATATCAGCAATAATATTTTCAGATTAAGAAAAAAAGCCACACAAAAATAAAGATAAACTGAATGTAATAATAGAGCATGTTAGATGGTTATCAAACACTTGTTTTAAACTTTTATAGAATTCAAATAAGTTTAATTGTGTAGCACAGTTTAAAATACTAGTGTTTAATGTAATTTATAAAGCAAGAAAGAAGATCCAGATTATATACAAAAATGTTAGATGTTTGATCACATGGACAGACTCATACATTCTAAATTGATCCTTATACAAAAAAAAGGTTTACTATATAAACTGATAAACAACATTTTCTTTCCTTTATGCACATCCCTCAGTTTTCTGACTAACAAAAGCTTTTAAATAATTATGCTTCTTCCTTGTCTGCATTGGGAAGTGTTTTAGCAGATTGAGACCCAGTCTTTTACTCCAACTGTCTCTGGGCCTTATTAGATAGACGGTTGCTAGTCCCTTTAAGCTTACTGTAGGTTGATTTCAGTTTGCATCAGTTTTCAATTTCATCTGGTTTTATTTTCATTTAAACAAAAAATAGAAAAAGGAATTAACTAAAAAGGGGAAGTAAAGTGAGGGCAATTTGCCAAAAGTAGGGCATGTATGCATGCAAATATAATTCTTGTTTGGAGTTTTGTTGCTTTGTCTTTAATATTTCACATCAGATTACTTTGATTGCCAAAGTCACCCAAACTAGCCTTTCTGATGCATCTACCTTTAGATTCAAATACTTTTAGAAATTCTGTGTTTCTTGCAATTTTTTTTCAGAGATTTCTGCTGACTGATACTCTTTAAATAGCATTCTTTAGCTTTATGTGAGATCCCACAAACTTGATAAGACACGCAGCAAACATAAAAGCTTTGGGGGGAAAAAGCGCTACCGGTTACAGCCAATCCTATCTTTCCTGTCCATCTGACCTACGTGATAGCTGAGAGACAACACTGCTGCACAGGCTCCTTTTAAAACTGTCACCTCCTTTACTTTTGTACCTTCTTTTTAGCCTTTTGTTCTCCTTTTGTAACAAGCATACACGCTGCCAAGCACACTGCACAGATGACAACAAAGTGATAAAGAGAAAAGAAACATTTCCTGGTCTGATGCATGTGAACTAGAAGTAAACCATAAAATGGGACCCAGGTTACAACTGACAGCTAAAATTGAACATGAAAACAAATCTCTAGGTTTAAATTCTGAAGCTTCAGGATAAAACATAAAACAATAATACCCATTCAAGATACTTAAGAGTGACTAAGTTTGTCATGGTGTCTGACAGAATAATCAATTAGCAGAAGAGAAGAAAAAAAATTCTGAATTTGTTCCTGTAAAATCTCAATTTTCAATCTTATGTGTATCATAACCAACACATATTAATGATGTTAGTCACTAAAGGACTTGCTTGATGCTTTAGATCATGCATTAGAGAAAAACATTTTGATATTTGATTATTTAGCGGACAGAACAAAATATCTGCAAATAACATTCATATAAAATATATATTAATGTCCTACAGTGTTACCTGTCAACTTCAATAGAACTAGCATAAGGTAAGCCCCCACCAACTTAGAAATACCTAATTTGTCTATAATTCCAAATCTTGAATGTGCAAGATAGATGTCGCCCCCAGTTGTGTCACACACATATAAAAGGTTTTATACCTTAACTGTTATACTTAAACTAAACATTATAAATCAAAGGACGTAGGTGATTGAATTTTACCATCTTGTCTCATTCCTGAAACCATAAGCAAAACAAGATAATGAAAATGTACTTATTATGTATGTATACAACTTGTTTTGAAAACCTTAAATATATTTAAGGTATATATAAATTATTATTATATAGATTAAAAGATTAATAGATAAAGGGTGACACAAATAACTGTGTCATCATTTAGTATCACAGTATGGTTACATTTTAGCATTTTTTTTGTCTTCTTTTAGTCTATAAGCACTAGTTTATATTTCATGGGCCATCACACAATTGTAACTCTGCTTTTGTTGTTTCAAGTGTAAACAGAGATAATCTGCTTTATGTATAGAATGATCCAACCTTGTGATCCCACACATCTAATACTGTAGTCTACTATATTTCATTATGTTTTAACTAAGACTGCTTTGCAATGTTTGGACAACTCTTTAACAAAAACAACTGCAGAGTGAACACTATTTTTTGCTAACTAAGCCATGCATATGCTCAGTCTACACTGATGAAGACTAACTCACATTGAGATGCTGAAACGGGAGCAACTACAGTGAAAAGCAGGCGACCACTTGTGGGGCTAATATTCTGTGTAAAGAGCATTGGAGCTTCATCTCAGTTGGAAACAATTAAAGCAACACTGCTTACATTTTGACCCAAGTATTAGGTTAATCTGAGATACATAAAAACAATTTTGTAGCTCAAATTAAAGCACAGTGTGTATTGATGCCTCCTAACAGAATTAGAATTAGGGTTATTTAATAATTATAATATGTTTATTATTGGAAGCCTTTCAATCTGTATTCCAGAGACTCAAGAAGGTGTTTAACTAGAGTACAAATCCCAGCTGCAGCAAAAGTTGAAGCTAGTAAACTTGCTGGTAAAAGATGTTTTTGAATGTTGGAGAATGGACCAATTAGTTTGCTTTTCGGTTTATTATAATGATAAGTTTCTAAATACTACACTATTAATATTTCTGGAAGTCACCTTTCAATAAATTTTGGTATGAGTTAAACATGTATGTACTCCAGAGATGGCAAAAGTACTCACTTTCCGTACTTGAGTAAAAGTACAGATACTTGTG